CATTAACATTTGAGAGCTGCTCAGTGGCAGCGTCAGAAGGCGGGCGAAGGCTGCCTTCCCTAAAGGCAGACCTCCCTCTCCCGACCACGGTACTAGCGTGTGAGGCCCGGAGCTCGTCCCTGGATGCAGGAGGATCCCCTTCGGTTTCTGCCCAAAGTCCAGTTTTCCAGTCTTTGAAGCAAGTGTGCACGGCACGCAAGTGGAAGTGAGGCTCTGCAGGCTGGGTTGGGAGCAGGAAACAGCCCTTCTTGTCCACTTCCTCTCATGAGCAGCCCGCTGTTTTCACCAAATACGGTCTACTTCAGGGGTGGCAGTTTTCCCCTGTGGATCCCAGAAGCATTCTTTATGTAGGGGATGAAAAGGGCTGCTTTGACCTGTCACCCACCTGTCACCCTGATGGTCCTGGGGGGCCGTGGGGGGCTCTCCCATTTTGAACCATCATGCTTTACAAAATCCACGACATGGCCCTACAGCCAGCTTCGGACACTCACGAAAGAAGGGAACAAATATTTGCTGCTCATGAGTGGCTCAAAGCATGTGACATATTCTTAAGAAGTAAAATGATGTTGTCAGTGCCTGGGGCTGCTGAGCATTTAAGCTCTTTTGACCTATAAAAGGGAGGGCATCAACCATGGTAGCTTGGGAGGAAAAGCCCTAATTAATATTAATGAGATCCATTATAATGTAGAGTCTCCCTGCAATGAATTTTAAATGTCCCTTGTCCATTTTTCTAGCACTGTGGTGCACAAGGAAACATCTGCTGCAGTCTGGCCGTGCAGTTGAATTCTTATCAGCTGATATGGATAATCTATTTATTATTGTACTTGTCATGCTGCTGGGTGTCGAGCTTCCCCCCAAATCAGTTTTTCCACCAAAAGCTCAAAGTCAGGGCGTTTGTGTGGGGTGTTTAAAAAAATCATATATTAAGAGTGATTTACAGAAATTAAACCTTCATTACTTTGTTCTTTTTCTTCCTACTTTTCTTGTCTGGACTAATAGAAGTTACTCTTGTCATTTCTCATTATTAGATGGGGGAAATGGGAAAAATTGAGTTTTTTTGTGAACGACATAATTCCAGTGCTTTGTGGAATTAATAAAATCTTCCCAGGAAGATGGCTTCGAGCAGCACCCTGCAAGAGAAACAGAATGTGTGCGTCGTCTATATGACTTCAAATCTTCTGGTAGCCACATTTTAAACATTATGAGGAAATATATGAAATTAATTCTGATAATATGCCAGGTTTAAGCCAATAAATCTGAATGTTATCAGGCCAACGTGTAATCAGCACACACATCATTCACGCCCCAGTTTTCCTCCTCGGTCTGTTTTTCTCACTGGCATCTCTGCCCGGTCCACATCTCAAGAGCCCGACAGGCAGCTGTGGCCCCAGCACTGTTCCTAGAAACCACGAGGTGCTGGCAAAATACAGAGGCGACGACAGCAAAACCCCCGCATATCTGCTTCTTTACGTAAAATGACACTCGCTGTAGCACTCTGTAAAGCGGATTAAATATCTCACTGCTTTGACATATCCCTGCTGTACTAACGTTTGAATGATGCCACTGAAATAGGCATCTTTTAAAAGCACAAGAAAACTAAATGCACCAGCAATAAATTTAACCGGTAAAAATGATTTGCTGGTTCGAAACAGCTTCATCCAACTGAAGGTTATGAGAAGCAGTTTACATACTCCACACATAGAGATAAATTGTTTCTCACTGTCTCTGTTGCCTGTGGAAATCGAAAACCTTAAAGCATAACAACGAAGATTTATTCACAGTACTTTCAATGGCAAACCTATGAAACCTCTATGTATTGTTTCTACGTAAAGTGAATATATTATTAAAATACTGTTTGTTGAGTCTACATTTCCTTTCAATTCAGTGTGGATTTCGGCATTACCTGGGTGCTCTGCCCAGGAACCTCTTCCATTCTGGTTAGCCCGGCAGCCTCGCCATGCCCAGTTTGTTGGTGATGCCCAGAACTTACCCACTGTCTTTCAGGCGGTTCACACATCGTGACTGCAGTGCATGTGCCGCGTGTTGTCCCCACTCTGGAGAGTGGGTTATGCATAAAGAAATGTGCGTCCATGGACCTGGAGAGGAAGGACCAGCTGAAGTTTCTTTTCCTGGTCAGCCAGAGCATGGCAGAGGAGCACAGTCTGCGCCAGGGAGTTTCAGAGAGGGGAGCCCGCCAGTCATTGGTGGCACTGTGCTGGAATCATGGGCAGCACATGGCAACCCTGACAGGAGAAGGTCGTTCTAACAAAGATGGGTGTGGGAAAACACCTGGAAAACCAGGTGAGGACACACAGTGATTGGCCTGTCAGTCATTCTAAGACCAATAGCACAAAACAGCAGCAGACTCACTAAGTAGCAACCGGTCCACTCAGCAATCCGTGCAGTGATACCACCACGAGATTGGTTCCAAGACATAAAATCAAAATGTATGATCAAGATAGTTGGTGAATTTTAAGTTTACAATTATTACAATAAAAGCCACATTGCCACGAATCCCCATTAAAACCCTCCCTCTCACTTTGCACATGTTCATCCCATTTTTTCCCCACTTTCTGAAGCGGCTCTGGAAGTCCTCTTTCCTGAGTGTCTTTACAAGGTGGATCAAAAATACGGTAAATATGGCTGCAATGTGACTTTTACTGTGATCATTTTTTAAAAAATTTAAACATTCACATAGTTTTCAGTCTCATCTCTGCTAGTGAAATGCTGCTTGTCTGGACAGCTTGGCATTAAGATAATCATCAGAGAGAGAGAGAGAGAGAGAGAGAGTTGTGAAAACTGGAGATCTCTCCATGCTATTTCATTAGAAGGTGGCGTTTGCTTGTACTTATCTGTGAACTTCAGAAGTTTAAGGCAAATATTTGGTATCCCCTTGGCACTGTTTTATCTCCAACTTCTCCACTGGGTTCAAAGCAAACACAGAAAATGTGTAGTCATGTAAGGGTTTAGACATTGGAACCCTTTTGTTTTGTGCTCTGTGTGGGCTGTGCAGTATGACTCTTACCTCATCTGTGGGTCCTCTTTGGTGTGGGAACATGGAGAGGGGCTGGACATTCTTGTGATGCTTCATTCTCTTCTGTAAAATGGGGATGGTACTATGTATCTAACTCACAGGTCTTTTTAAAGATAGACTTTATTAGAGCAGCTTTAATTTCATAGAAAAATTGTCCAGGATGAGCAGAATTCTTGTGCACCCTTTGTCCCCCGTATCTGTCCACTCCTGACCCAGAGCTGTACATTCTTGACCAAGATGAAGCTATACCAACCCAGCTTCATCCCTGGAGGCCTCAGTTCTGGTGCTGCAAGCTCTGGCTCTGTGGGCTTTGACAAATGTATCTAGGTTTTATGTAAGATGAAAAGAAATAAAATAGGCAGAGAAATGGCATCAATTAAACAATTAAAACTTAAATATTTATCTCTGATGATGATATTATTGTTATTATTATTATTATTATTTGAGACAGAGTCTCGCCATGTAGTTCAGGTTGGCCTTGAACTCACTACATAGCCCAGGCTGGTCTCGAACTCAGAGCAATCCTCCTGCCTCAGCCTCCTGAGTGCTGGGATTACAGCCATGCGCCACCACACCTAACTGATGATGATATTATTAATTATAACAGTTGATTTAAAAGCATCTTTTGAAGCACATTTTTCCTTTATGTTATATATGTGCTGTGTGACCTATCTGTATGTGATACTAAATAGATATGACATATCGTAGTGATCAGACAGTACCCTATGTCTTCAGAGATAACATCCTGAATCTCTGCGATCAGCCAAAGATAGAAGACTTTTGTTGCACAGAAGAGTGCGGTGGTGACTGGTGATTTGCAAATGCACACTGGGAAAGAGCACACCCAGAGGTGGACTTTGAAGTCAAAGATTCCAATGTTGCTTCTGTTGTGTGTGGACAGCTTACACTTTCAGGCCGCTAATGTGTATGCAATGAAGTCACGCCCATGTCTGCCTGTGGGAAAATGTCACATGACACAGTAATGCAGGCCTTGAGGAGAGCTCCAGAGATGGGGTCGGTTTCCAGGGAGACCAGTCCATAACCGTCGGAACTGGGATCTCTCGTGCTCTTGAGTGTCGGGCTGTGTCCCTCACAACAACACAAGCTAAGAAACACATTGGCTTGGATGATAAAAATGAAGCTAAAGAGTTGGGTTATGTTTCTTACCACCTGCCGCCGCCCTCAGGCCCACACAGACACCTCTCTCCCCACTGGGCTCTGGTTCTGGATTCTTTGATTAGATGCAGGTGTTCAGGATCCTGTGCTCCCAAGTCAGTAACTGCTCTCAAAGTTCTAGAGCTGAGATGACCAAGTCCTTTCTGATTGTTTTTTTGTATCGGAATGCATTAGATTTTCTAACAACAGCTCTTAGGTGCTTTTATTATGTGACTCCAGGGAAGATGAGGATCCTTGGAATTACTTGCGCACGTCAGTGCTGATGCAAGGCACAGGGCTGCACCAGGGGTGGAGAGCAGCTAGCCCGCCAGTTCCCTGGATCGAGGACACAGAGAACAGAACTCTGTACCCTATGGTTCCTTCTAGAAGCAGTCAAGCGAGAGCCTTCCGCTTGCCCTTACTTTGTGGCCATGGTCTATTAGTAAATGTGAGTCAGCGAAAGAGTACTGACTCTCAGTCATATAGCATATTTTAAAAGCTGCTATCACTGTTCCTCTAGCTGTGGAGGTAAGCACACTCTCCCTGTTAGAAATGGCAGGACGATCCAACTTGCCGGGACTCAGGCCGTTACTTCCACTTGTAAATGTCTCCGGAGAAACAACACCCCTCTCCTTAGTGTCAGGCCATGGCTAGCAGTTTAGTACTCATTGTCTCTGCAGAAATCTGTCATACAGAGGCTGTGTGTGGTTGTGGCAGATGGGGGGACACAATCCAGGCTGCGGGGGCTCAGACAGTTCCCGCAGGAGCTGTCCTCCGAGGGACATTTCCCAGCTCCTATTTACAGTGTACTGTCATTATGGATATGCATTCTGCCTTCAATTTTTTAAAAAAAGCCCTTTGACCTCTGCCCCTAGGGAGGTGGTAGAGTACTGGCATCAGAGGAAGGGAAAAGCCAGAGTAGATGAAGGAGGTCTTGGTGGGTTTGGTCCCCTGTCCTTCCAGAGGGGAATCCCAGGGAAGAGCAGTTCGGAAAGGCAGAAGTAGGAAAGGATGTAATGCCTGAGAGTTTAAAAGGGGAGATCATTTTAAGTTCAATAAATAATTTTTAAAATCCCGGTGAATTTAGTGGGAAAGAAAGATGGGGAGGCCAGCAGTACGGTTCGTATCTCCAAAGGGGCATCTCTAAGGAGCTCAGAGTTTTAAAGTCACACAGGGGAAGAGACAAGGGCAGAGTGCCAGGAATAGCCCTGGGGACGAGGCCACGCTCTGAACCCGAGGGAGGCCAGGCCGTGACCCCGGGCTTGACGTTTACTCCCGGGCTTGACGTTTACTCCGCTCTTGTGTTTCCTGTGTCCAGAGGTTCATCTCGGGGCACGGAGCGTCCTGCCTGCTGTCCCCAGGTGCAAACGGATGAGCCCAGCTGGGCTGGGAGAGGGGAGATCAGGGCAGGTTGGCAGCCAGTGCGCCAGGGACAGGGAGAACTGCGCATGCGCAAACGCCGGTGCCATGGAAACGGGACGCAGAAGGCGGGGCTGCCGGTGGAGTTGCTCGGCTTTCTTCATTAAGGAGAGAAAAGTTCTTCGCTGTGATGCAGGAACAGCGGGTTGCTCGGGTTGCTCGGGCGGGCGAGGTAAGAGAGGTGGTCACGGGGAGCCCTCCTGGAGAGAGCGCAGCTCCTGGCCTGGTACTGAGTTGCTAGGCCCGAATGAGCTCACCCGGACGTAGGGTGTGACTGAAGACCGATTCCATTTGACCCCGCTCTGGTGTCTTCCTTAGGGTTAGAGACGTCATAGCTCCGCGAGCCGTGCACACCCACGGTCACGGCAGCGAGTTCCTAACCCTACATAGCTCCCCTGTCCATCCACAGACGGAGGCTCCACGGCAGAGCACCGCTGTGCCAAAAGGGAGGGTAAACGGGTCCTCTGTAGGGAGACGCAGGCGCCTGGAGACCGCGGTGTTAAGTGACACAAATCAGACACACAGCTGAGACGTCACCTGGATTTCCTTACACGAGAAGCCCAAAGCATAAAGAGGAGAAGAGAGACCACAGGAAATGGGGAGATAAAACTTCTGCAAATAGGAAGGGGCATGAGCTACGGAGGGAGGAGGAGCGAGAGAAGGGGAGGAGACGCAGAAAGAATTAAGATGTGTCCAGTCCACGCACTCCCACAGCAAAAGGAATCATGTAATGCATACGAGTGCTCATACAAGCAAACTTTTTTTTTAAAGGACAAAAACAGAATCACACGAAAGAGAGAGGGCAACGCCGCGGAGTCCGTGAAGCCGGGGTGTGGGCTGTCTTGGCGGCCCTTCCGGGCAGCTCGCAGACTTGCAGATCGACTGGCTTCGTCCGCTCTGCCCATCGAGGGCCAACACCTGGCCTACACCGGCCCGGAGCGCGCCCCAGTGAGCGGACACCGCCTGGGACAGCCAGCTTCAGCGTATTCCTGGAGACACAGACAGACGTGAGCTGGCGCGGTAGAAACCGGATAAAACGGGAATTAGTGAGTAACTACTTTTTAAAACGTGGCGATTAATGCACTGATACCAACCTCCAAGGAAGTGATTAGCAGCAACTGAAAGGTCCTGATGTGATTACGTCCAATTCACTTGCCCTGCGCTCGCTCGGAGGCGCGGAAAACATGCCTCTCAAATTAGCGAGGGATCCCCAGGCAGGGGCGGCAGCCTCTCTACTACAGGGGATCGTTGTCAGAGTCACATAATCCAGACACACCGAGAGGAAGCTGTCCTTAGAAATCCTCTGGAACGAGGGAGATGGCCCACCACTTTTGCTGTTGAATTGGATTTGGTGATTTTAAATTGGATTTCCTCCATCTCCTTTGAGAAGTAATTCCGTGATGGTGGAGCGTAATTGTAAACTTGATTGGGGTGGGAGTCACCTAGAGGATCAGTAAAGCACACTCTGGGTGTCCGGAGGCATGGGCTAAGCCCCTGGAACACGAGCCAAATCAAACCTGCCCTCCTTCGAGTTGTGGGTGCCGGGTATTTTGTCTCAGTGACCTGAGGTGACTGGTATTGTATGTGTAGATGAGCTCTCTTTCCCAGGAAAACTGTTGCCAAAAATTTCATATTTACACATATATATGTGACAGAATACATAGTTAAAAGTTAAGCTATAGATTAAACAAGTAAATTCAAATTAACAGGAAAAAAGACACAAAGCAGGATATATATAGATATCACTCTCTCAGAGAGAACTATTATATAATAAAAACGTATGATAGTAGAAGATCATTAAATAAAATGCTACAGCAGAAGCAAAGCTCTCTATGTAAATTACTGGACACATATGACCTAAGCTCAATTATTAAAAGAAAGGTCATTAATCAGCTTGGCTTGGAGAATTAGCTCACAATTCTCGTGTATACAAAAACATCACATTGTAATTGTAAATATATGTAGTACTTACTTGTCAGTGGCACGTCAATAAATCTGGGGAAAATCTTCAAAAAAAGAAAATGTGTAAAATAGAATATAGGTATGTAAAAGAGATAAACTAAAAAGTAACATGATTCAGAAATATTTAAATTAAAAGAATAGAAAAAGAAGACTATGGGACTATTAATAATGTAAAAAGTCAGGATCATAATATCAGAAAAAGTTGAATTCTAGATTTAAAAAAAAGACAAAGACGGCCATTTTAACGTGCTAGTTGTTCCATCCCTGGTGACAATTAACAACAAGGAATGTTATACACAAAATAACATCAACAATGTGAAGCAAAAAATCACTATAAACAGAAACAAAGAATCAGTATTATAATTAGCAATTTTAGAGCATTTCAATCTATGACAGATCTAGATTACATAAGTGGGAACACAGACTTTGAGATTAAAAACTAAATTCATTTTATTAAGTTAGATCTAATTAACAAATAGCAAACACATTAAAGCCGTAATGAGATTCTGCTTTTGTCAAAGTTCAACACATTTTGTAACACAGTGAGTTATCAAGGACCCTCAGCCAGCTGTTCTTGTGCTTTTCCAGGGGAAATGGAAGTGTGAATAACTCTTAAGGAGAGCACTTTGGTTACTATAAAAATTTAAAGTGTGCATTCTTACCTAAAAACATCTTACATGTTTTTTCACATCACCTTGACAGTATGTAAATACCTTAGTATTACAGGTTTCAAGAAGCAGAGTTATTGATGAAAGAGTAATACAAATATGAAATTTGTATTCATTAGTTCACACTATAATAAATGGGCAAATAAATAGAGGGGATCAGAGGCATTTTTGTGCAGGAGAGTCCCTAACGCTGAGCAGGTGCTTTGCCCCCTAGGAAGGAGAGGGCATCCAGCCCAGGCCTTGGGTGGGATCTGGGTGAGGCATCCTTCTCCTCGTCCCAGGAGAGAAGCCCAGGACATCCCAGCCAGGGTGCTGGCCCGGGTGGATATGGCCCGGGTCCGCAGTCATGAGCCGTGTTGCTGGTCTGCCCCCAGAACCCCACGGAGTGGAGTCTGCACATGGTGATCTTCTGGATCAGCCAGAGTCCCAGTCTGGTCCTCAGAAAGTATCAGAGCCACTCCCCAGAGAATCAGTCAGCACAGTGCCCAAGCAGTGGCCCCCTGTCCTCCTGAGGCACCACCGTGGGGTGGTCTGAGAAGCTGCCCCAGCCCGGAGGGAGGGTCCTTGGCAGTCAGAAGGGCTGGCAGGGTGGGGGACCCAGGAGGGGCTCAGGGGAAGGCACCAGGCACTGTGGGGTGAGCTTAGGGACAGAGCCGCATGGGGGGAGACTGACTGACAGGTGCTCTGAGACAGTGCGGAGAAAGTCTGCCAGCTGCATGGGACTCCGGCCGCCCCACCCGATTCTTCTGTATGACAAGGGATGGGGATGTATTTCAGTGTCGAGGCCTTGTATTTCTATCACTATCCTAAACAGAAAGTTCGCTAAAATGGAGAGGATGGGAAAATGAAAATCACAATATACTAAAAGCCCTTGGACAGTGAAAAAATATTTAAAAGAACATTTTTAAGAGATTGCATGGAAGGGAGGTATGGTCCAAAGTCTTGTTGTAAATCTCCACCACAAGAGGACAAAAGATAGGTTGGAATCAAAATCGTAGAATTAAAGAATAAGAGAAATTGGAAATTAATGAAATATCAAATGAGCAAACAAAAGAGAAGGAGGGAGGGCAGAGAGAGGAGGAGGAGGAGGGAGAAAGGAAAGAGGGAGAGGCAGGGATTGAGGGAGAAAGGGAGGCTCTTTTCATCTATCATATCCATTGCTTCTCAATTTTAAGAAATTTTTAGGTAGTATGGATATTAGCTGTTTAAAGTATTTGTTGGGAATATTTTTCTGTCCCACTTTTGGCTGCCTTTGGCCTTTCCAATATGATGAGATAAAACATTTGAGGTGTTTTAAGATATTTTTTATCTAGCCACATTTATCAAGCATTTTTTTATTGCTTCTTATTTTTAAATCATAGTTAGAAGCCTTTTCTTTAGAGAAAATTTAAACGGAATTAGCCTGTTTCTTCTAGCACTTTTATGATTTCTTTCAATACATTTACTTCCCTAATAAATTTGGAGAATATTCTTAGATATAGTAAGAGACATAAATATGATTGTATAAGTTTTTTCAAAGAGCTATGAATTTGTCCAACCCAGTTTACTACAAAGTTCACTGTTAGTGATTTGAAATGCCATTTTTGTTATATAGTGAATCCCATATGTACATGGGTCTTATTCTGAACACTTTATATAGTTTTTTCTCTATTCTGTCTTTTTGGATGCTAGTACCACACTGTTTTAATCCCAGAAGGTGTGTTGTATGTTTTCACATCTGATAGGGCCAGATTTTTCTTCTTAGTTTTTACCTTTCTGGCATTTTCCCATTTATATTTGCATTTTAATTTTCCCATCAACATGTTGTCCACCACTATGAAATAACTCATTATATTTTTACTGGGATTGTATTGATTTTGTACATCAACCTAGGGACAACATACATCTTTCTAATAATTAATCTCCCTATCTGACTTCCCATCTATTTGGTCAATTAATTTGTGTAATTTCAGGCTTATTTTTAGAATCTTCCTCCTGTAAGTTTTGCACATTTCTTGTTAGATTTATTTTCAAGTATTATTTTACTTACTCTTGTAAATGGGATTTTCTTTAACTGCTTACTGTTTGAATGTTAATTTTATATCTGACTGCTTCATTGAATTCCTTTTTTTTGTTTTGGACATACTGGGGTTGAATTCAGGGCCTTTACACTGAAATACATCACCATCCCTTGTTTCCTTTGATACCAGGTCTTGCTAAGTTGATAAGCTGTGTAGGCTGGATTCAAATTTGTAACCCTTCTGCCTCAGCCTTGCAGAGTGCTAGGATCCTACCATATCTAGTTGAATTATTTTATTGAATTACTTTGTCATGTATTTTCAGGGGATTTATAAGTGTGCTATCGCCTCATCCATAAATAGGGAAAATTTTACTCCTCTTTGCCTATGTTAATGCCTGTGGTCAGTTTTCCTGTGTCATTTGATTGTCGAGTATCTCAGCCACACCAGACCAGCCAGGGAGAAGGTGGGCACTGTGGTCTTTGTCCTAATTCTAGCGAAAATGTCTTCAGTATTTCTAGTACTTTCCCATGAAGTCATGTGGTGGCTTTAGAACTGGATTTAGATCTAGACCTACCCACGTACCTACTGCCTACCTGTGAGCACGGTATTATTATTATTTTCTGGAGTATTTTAAAGCATTTCAGATCACGAGTGGAAATTGTCTTTTGTTAAAAGCTTTCTTCAGTGTGTGTGGAGATTGTGGACCAAAAAGTTAAAATTAATTTTTGGGCTAAAAATGTGTAAATCTTTTAATTGAGAAAGAATCACCAAATATGCAGTGAGAAATAGAACCGGCAGTATTTGTTCTCATAAGAGACTGTTTTAAGAGGTGGGTGTAGCTTAGTGTCGGAGGGCTTGCCTGGCACGCATGAGGGCCCGGTTCCAGCCCCAGGACCAAAAAGGAAGAAGGAAGCAATGTCTTCGAAAGTGACCCCCCCAGAGTGGAAGTTCTCTGGGAAGCAACGGGCCGGGGCTCCCTGCTCCCCTCGTATTTTGCAGACCAGCAAGCGCGGTGCTGCACGGGTTAGCATAGACCTGCTTAGGGCCAGATTGGGATGCAGCCGAGTCCCTGCTCTTAGGCCCTCCGCTGCTCCAAGCCATTTCCGGCCTTCATGATGAGCCCCGAACAGCAAACCCCACCCAGGTCAGGCGGAAACGCGCCGCTTCCGGCCTCTTCAGGGTCGAACCCAGGGCTGTGCAGCCCCACACGATGGCCGCGGGGAGCCCGGTTGAATCTTCAGACAGGCGAAAAAAGAGTGCTGACATTTGGACGGTGTACTGCGCGTGAGTTTCTTTTATTTCTTGTGAATGGCCAAGGTTGATAGAGGTAGAATACATGACAGGAGAACATTTTGGTTTGTTTTCTTCATTTGTCTTATTTCCAGGGTCACAGCAATCAAAACAATGTCATGGTCG